TCCACACCGCTGAAGAGATCAAACTATCTCGAATCAGCCGTCCGGTGTTTCCTAGTTTTTCAGTTCATGCTGCATTTATTCATATATACGACTAGTTTGCCTTTGAAATATCATCTTATAACATTGTCATTTTTTAGAGTTACTTTCTGTTACCTGAGGCGTTTGTACAACACATTAATTAAACTTAGTTGTCATTCGATTCATTTATCTAAATGTTGCGTGGTGTTTAAAAGTGCCTAATACTGCAGAAGCCTAAGCGCAGTATTCTAGATTGACCCCAGAATGATGCGATCTTGAGGTGAGAATCAATGATAGCACTGATTATATAGCAAGGATTGTATTTTTTTCGATTATATTGAATAAATAAGTGAATAGCTAGGAAGCAGTGTCAGCTGTGTTTCGACCTGGTTCGGTATCATCAACAGTGCTGTTTCATCGACCTAAATGGGGACCGAAGCCGGGAACATTCAGAATACAAACATGCTACCCACCCAGATTATTAGACCGTTTTATTTTATTTTCGATCGAAGCGTTGTAGCGCAATCCATCCTGCCTAGATTAGCGAGGCGCGATACCCGCAATAAGCTCGCCAAGGTGGATTGTGCTATATCGTGTTGATGGAAAAGAAATAAACGGTTTGATCAGCTGCCCGGTGTCCGAGTGGGTAGTATGCTACCTTGCTGTCTGTGAGTTCTCGTATTCGATCCCCAGTTAGGTCGATAAAGTGGCACTGCTGATGAGACCCAACCAGACCGCATTAGCTTTCCTGTGCTTCCTAGCTTTTCTGTTATCTTTCCATTTACTATACATAACGAATTCCATCTTTTTACTTAAGTTTTCTTGGAAGGAAAGCAAAACAGTCACATCATATTCTGCGAGGTGGATTCAACTATGATAATGAAATTCGGATTTATATTGATCATATTTATCTGATCGTCGAGATTACTCGGGATATGTGGCGTCTGTCGAGTGGAACAGGGTAGCTCAATGTTTCCACTCGGTGTTTTGGGGCTCACAGGGAGGGGGTAGTTGTGCTGACAAATTTTCATCGCCTATGCCATGGTTAGTCAACCTACCTTGATAATAAACCGTGACAGGGAGTGGAAAGCCTCGGCTACCTTCAAAGTACGGTTTGTTTCAGCTAGGTGCAAAAGAACTGCACTGGTGGTTGTCATAATCGGTCCGGTGTTCGGCCAGGGAGAGTTGTATACAATAATCCGTTTAGAAACTAGTCGGATCGCGCGCTCTATATACTTTTTCGACTGAACCAAGTTAATGAGTATAGACAGAATGATACTGCAGATCCGGCGAGTTGCAAATGCCTCAAAACTGTTGTAGTATTACTCCATCTTTAGGTACTTGTGATAATCTGTTCATCATCGGAATAATAGTCCCGGTTGGCCTTGTACGTTCGAACATGAACACATTAATGTCTGCTTTCTGCTTTAAGCATCGCAAAATCTCGTTCTGCTCGTTCTACTTGAACAGTCTTATCCTTTTCCATCGAATTGGGGAAAAGGAATCGTAAGGTAATACAGTAACCACTTGGTCCATTTGGTCTGTTGGATTCGGTAGCACTATTCTTCTAACCTTATCCGCTTTCGATGGTATAACTTCTTGATTTTTTTAATCGTTCATTTTATTATATAGTGGCTAGTTCATTTGTATTTCGCTTGATATTCTGATACTGGACAAAAGCATTCACTGGGGTCAACGTTTGCCTCTTCAAATCCATTATTGAAGAAGGAATCGGGTGAGAAATTCACGCAAGAAGGTTTCTTCAAACTCCATCTCCACATTCAGTGATTAAATTTTTTATGCAGAAAACAAAACTTCGCTCCCAGTGATAACACTTCTATCAGTACTATGTCCAAATTTATGTTTGACAGACTGTGAGCACCCTGCTCGTCGTTGGTGGGAAATGCATCCACATGTTTGGAAAGATTAAGTAGCAGACACAACTTGGTTTGACTCCGCCTCACCTGTTTGGATACTCGAGAGTGAGTGCAATTCTTTTAAGATTGTCATTCATTCGGCGAGAGATTATTCCATGAAAGTTCAAATAATACGTTTACGATATAAAGGAATCTGGCTCTTTGAATAGAGGATAGGACAAAGAAGATATGTAATAAAGACACGGTAGAAGAAGAGCACCG